GTGTGTGTGTGTGTGTGTGTGTGTGTGTGTGTGTGTGCGTGCGTGCATGTGTGTGAGTGTGTGTGTGTGTATATAGTGAGTGAGTGTGTGTGTGCGTATGTGTATGTGTATGTGTGTGTGTGTGTGTGAGTGTGTGAGTGAGTATGTGTGTGTGTTTACCGGTGGCGTGGCAGTGCATGCTGATGCTCTGACCCTCCACGGCTGTCAGATCTGTTTCTGTAACCGAGGCCTGGGGAAACGCCCCAGCAGAGGCTCCGCCCTCCATCCTGAGCTCCACCCGCCCCTCAGTAAGCCCCTCCCTGCTCTGAGCGCGGCACACAAATATCCCAGCATCCTCTGCTGACATCACTGTCACCTTTGGTGGGCGAGTGGGAGAAACAGACCATGTTGAGACGTGCAGATCGGGCAGAAACCCGTAACGCTGAATCAGTGAATCCTAAAACACCTGTAGTGATGCTGTGGTGTCTGTTGTCGTGGAAACAAGCTCCGCCTCACTGCCCTGTTTGGTCCAGCTGATGGAGGGGCGGGGCTTCCCGGTGACACGGCACTCCAGAGTCACACTCTCACCCGCGCGAACCGACAGCGGCCCAGACGGCGTCACACGCACCTTCGGAGGCTCTGCATCAACAAACACACTCTGAAACCACATCAGGGTTGCCAGGTCTGCGTAACAAAACTAGCACAATGGCCACTTAGAAATATCCCAAGCGTAGCCCAGTGACCATATCCCAGATATCAAAACTCCAAATATGCAATTCCCATGGATAAAGTACATATTTTACAGTCACTGCTGAAAACCAGTATATCGTAGTGATCATAAACACAGCTCTAGGGCTCCTTACCAGTATGCCTCCTTCACAAAACTTTACATCTACCACAGTTTTATCATTTTTTCTGTGGGAAAACCGAGGACTTGGCAACCATCTATTTAGCTTTGAAGAATCCACAGTTTTGTGGTTTAGATTTTGTTCAGGTTAGGTTTATCTAGTTCTAATTTGCTCATATACAGTATCTACTATTTTTTTTATATATATCTTTTGGGCATTATTTAGTTTAATTTTTATTTAATTTGAGTATTACTTTGAGTTCATCCCCTACATCTCGGCACCAGAAAATGTGATTTGCATGTTTACATATAAAAAAATATCATTTTCTCATCTAATTGGATAGTTATTTTGACAGAAAACAACAAAAAACTTAAAATATATATTTTTAAAACTATGTTTAATTGTTTTTGCTGCTTTTCTCAGGTTTCCACATTCATGCTACATAATTTAGTTGTGTAGATCACAAATAATATTCTTGATTAAATCGGTTTTCCCAGAAGTATTTTCTCTCTGTTTTCATTAATATTTTTGCACATAGTTATAGTTTTTTCTTCTTCTCTTAGTCAATGACACTCTTTTTGTCTTTGGAATGGTTTTTGTCGTTGCTAATGGCTTTGGCTGGTGCTGCTGGAACAGTGATAGGTAAACACTGGCTATTCACACAGAGAAACACACGCTGGACTCACGTCTGATGGTCAGAGAAGCTGTGGCCGTCCCTTTTCCCTGAGCATTGGTGGCGATGCAGCGATACCCGCCCTGGTTATTGAGACGGACGTTAGTGATGGTCAGAACAGCACCGTCAGGTCCAAGCTTCACGTTATCTGTAAATAAACCAGAACACATAAGACCATTAAAGCAGGAATCTGCTGTTTCACCTGTCCTGTCACTAACTGACCTTTCCTTGCTCAGATGTTGCTCTTTCCTTTCTCAGGAGACTAAATGGGGTTTCTCATTATTTATTCACGAGTTAAGCTTCATTTAACTATCAGATATTTCTCTTACAATAGCATAACTTATTTGTGACCCTGGACCACAAACCCATACGTGTCAATTTTATGAAATTGAGATTTATACATCTGAAAGCTGAATAAATGCGCTTTCCATTGATGTATGGTTTGTTAGGATAGGACAATATTTGGCTGAGATACAACTATTTGAAAATCTGGAATCTGAGGGTGCAAAAAATCTAAATATTGAGAAAATCATCTTTAAAGTTGTCCAAATGAAGTTCTTAGCAATGCATATTACTAATCAAAAATTAAGTTCTGATATATTTACGGTAGGAAATTTACAAAATATCTTCATGGAGCATGATCTTTACTTAATATCCTAATGATTCTTGGCATAAAAGAAATGGATAATTTTGACCCATACAATGTATTGTTGGCTATTGCTACAAATATACCCCAGCGACTTAAGACTGCTTTTGTGCTGCAGGCTCACATTTGTTCTTGGAAGAGTTTGATGAAAAGTGTTTGAGTTTATATTAAGATCTCTGACTTTTGATTGCAATCTTAGGCTGATGATACACGGGGCAATGTTGCCGTCAGTGGACAGCCAGGTGAGACACAGGGCCCACGACTGATCTAAAGTATCCAGACTGAAATTTGTCACCCATTCTCAATGGGAACGCCCAAGCAACATTGCTCAAAAAGTGTATCTTCAGCCTTCAGTATCTTAACAACTCTGAGCACTGATGTTTCTTCTGAAATCATTTGATCTGTATTTAATTTCTGCTGTATTAATGAGTGTGTTTGTTGTGTCTGAAGGTGCTTCGGTGGGATCTGTTTTTCTCAGACGGTTGGTGATGTGAAGGCACCTCCCAGCGGCTGGTTGTTGGTCCTCTTCCACTCCAGCTGGAGGGGCTGTGATCCGCTGGTCACGCGGCAGGTGAAGCTGACCGTCTCGCCGAGTTTAACAGCAGCTGTACGCGGCCGGACGGACACGATGGGACTCTGACCCCATACTGCCATGAGCAAACAACACCGACGCTTGAGTCAATCACACACTACTTCACACACCTCAGCCTACCACTGCATGCTTGACTGTAAGTTACATGACATGTTTGAGAAGATCTAAGGAAACAAAAATGCTGAATTCTTGTGAAAGTCTGTGTCAGATGAACCCTGTGCTCCCGTCGCTCTCGCTGACCTTCAGTCCTGCTCTGCTAAACAAACACAACCAAAAATCAAACTCCTCACAGCATGCTTTTAGGATGACAAACACTTCGAAAGGTTACTTTGGAAACCTAATAGGTTACAGATTACGAGTTACCCTATTTAAGGAGTGCAACTATTTCAATTACTTTATTAAAGTAACTGATTACATTTGATTACCTTTTCTAAATTTCTAATGAATATTATGAACTGTTAATCATTTTGAAGCATTTAAAGCAGGCAGGGTTAAGCTTACAGTAGTACTCAACACTGATTACTGTCAGACTTTCACAATCCTTCATCACTGGAATTAAGATTATAATAATTTAATTTTAAAGCACAGCCACCACGAAATCAAACTTTAGCACCTCTTTTTACTTTGAGATCCTTCTGGGGCTAAATACAGATTTAAAATCATAACAAGAAATAGTTTAGCTATGATACTGTTTTTAAAAAAGAATCTAATCTAATACTGGCATCTAACAATGCTTTGGAAAAAAAAGTTAATCTTAAAGAAATAAAACATACCTGTCTTTAAATGGCAGAAGGTATCGTGCACAACAAAAACAGGCAAATTCAACATATCCTATCTTTTTACAGAAAATATTCACACGCAATCTTTAAAATTTCATAAGCTACCGTAATTCAATTGCACATTTTTTTTCTCAGCAACTGTAACAGATGTTACATTTATTTTGTAATTAGATTACATAACAACGTTACATGTAACTAGTTACTTCCCAACACTGTTCATGAGCAAACTAAACCAGTGAATGTGATTTGATCACATTTAATAAATTGATTTAAAACTGACTTTAAAGAGCGTATCAGATCATCAGAAAGCAAAGATATGACCACGTTAAAAACCAGATATACTCATACACTGATCTTACAATAATGGATATATGTGATTAACACTATGGCTCCAACAATAAGAAATAAACCTCAATGCAACAACACAGATGAAGGAATACAATTGAGAACACAAGAATATCATCCTTGATGAAAACCACTACAAATAAGGAAACTATCACTTGAAAATTTGTTTTCATTGACAGAAATAAAAACAGGACTTGAATGTTTAATGGAAATGTGAAGGTAAATGCAAAGACAAGCTTTGCTGTGTTTGCAGTCAGTGTGTGATTTAATCAGTGATTTAATCTTCAGCCTGACTTTAGACTGTATTCTGTCAGGAACTAAAACAGCCAATTAAATAAAGCAGCCGTTTTACATGCAACACAACCAATCACTGAGCATGTTTTCTGATAAAGTGCTATTAAAATGTGTGACTCTGCGTTACAAGCGATACTTTAACTAAACTAAACTACTACTGAAACCAATAAAATCCATTTTTAAAAGATGCAAACAAACATTATCTACGAGTAGTTAAGACTACCCTGAGTTGAACTGAAAATATGGCACACAATAAAATAACGTTTTGAAAACTAAAATTTGGGCATCTGAATAATTATTAGTAAAAATATATAACATTATACTATTAAGACCTGAATAATTAATATTAGAAATTGAAGGCAGAGAGAGGCAGTTTCACCTGTGTGCAGGACAGCAGAGAGAACCAGCGCTGCGGTTTGGACGTTCATGATGGACTGGAGATCTTTCTCTGTCTGGATCACTGTTTAACACTCCTCCTCTCTCTCTTTATCACACACACACACACACACTCACTCACTCACTCACTCACTCACTCACTCACTCACTCACTCAGCACGCACGCACACACACACACACACACACACACACACACAGCTTATCTGTTTTACTGAACTCAGTGTGGCATCAATAGCTCAGTCTTGTGTTTCTGTGGGTCACGTGTGGTTTTGTGGGAACCAATTATATGCACAACATAAAAATCCTACATACATGGAATACCTCCTGCTGCAAAAACATCTCATTTCTCATCTAAACATGTCAAACATGTACAGTTAATTATCGCTATTTAACAACCACAGAAGTTTATTCTGAAATGCTAAATGTCTTCTGGTAGGCGTAACGTTTGGGTTCGTCTACAGTAATTATAATTCTCTTTATATAAAAACAGTGCAAGTCTATGGAATGTCTTCATTTAGATAAAATCTTCATTGTCTAAATAAACGTTTAGTGTGTAGGTTTGAGGTCTCACTCTGGCAGAGAAAAATAAACTAATTAACCCATGACAGACATTACAACAAAACACACATGCACAGAAAAACCAGATCCGTGATGCTCTTATACTGCATTGAAGTGTTTGTTACGGTGCAACAAAGTGCGTGGATGTAGAAAACCACTACAAATGAAGTAAATCAGCAACAATTGTTGATTGGTGATCTTGAACATTATTTTAAATCAGTATTTTTAACACACAGGTCTGGGTCTGGGTTAAAAGAACACAGATGTGACACCTACTGATTAAAAACACTGTAAAGGGAAGACTGAGATTCTCTTTGTTGTTTCTGTATTATGTATGTATTATTGTGTATTATTACTCATCTAAACCAAAATTGCCTAACTGATAGCTGTACTGTGTGCACTTGTTTATTAATGATTTGGAAGTGGAAACACATGTTTATCATGCAAAAATATTTTTACTACGATCCCCCATATTTGGGGTTGTGCTTCTGAAGAACTTAACTCTGCTTTACCAGATGACTCTACATTACCCTTTACATATTTGGGATTTAAATGTTGCTTTCAGTAGCATTCAATAATGTAATATTTGATTGCTAACCAAGTGCAATGTGTAGGCCTATGTCTTCACCTAAACATATTCTGAATAGCTTGTGTTTTGCTCTAAACTACATTGCTTATCAGGGTTCAAAATAAATGAGGAAAATATAAATGAAAGATGCGTTCTTCTTTTTCAAAACATGTTTTTATTGGACTCTGTTCTGCTTTTTTCCAGGTGCTTCATGAACCTCCTCCTTGAACTCAGAGTAAAGCAGGTAGAACAGGTTGAGCAGCTAAAACTGAAAGCAAAACACACTGCAGTTTAACATTGGCAAAGACAGAGCATGAACAATCAGCAGTAACCAGCGGGATATTTTTCATAGTAAGTACATGTTTAAAGCTAAATGACATGATACCACTTATGCAGTTTAAAACCACTATAAATGTTTCTGAAGGCATTTGTGTAGAATTCACCTGATTAATTCAACAGCGCGCGACCTGTTCTGATATCATACACAAGCTAATGTTTTTTTAAGGCTACTTCGATTTTGGTTTACTTTGAAGTTGATTTAATAATCTTTAATAATTAATAATTTAACTATATATATACTCTCTCTATATAGTATACTATATATACTATATATATAACTATATCTCTCTGAGACAAAATTTTTTACAGCAAAATAAGCTTATAACCTACAGAAAAATTAAGCTTATTATACTGAATACATTTTAAATGCGTGTGTAAAACGTTAAATTTATGTTTTTCTTTGTTTATGGAGGACCTGTTGAGTGGGTGTGGTGTTTGTGTTTCTGTTTGAAGTTTTGATGTCGCCTACTAGTAAACTAGTTTTTCCAGATGTTTTTTAGATAAACTCACATTACCCGACCTAAAGAGTTTGAAGAAGTTGACATTCAGATTGACTGATAATTTATTTAATTATTTATTTACGTACTAAATAAATAACTCACTTACTTATTTATAGCTTGTAACTGGTTTTAAAGTTCAAATATATTTACAACTACACTAATAGAACAGCTGTTTGTGTGCTATAGGGGCCTCTAGTATGTATGCATGAAGTGAATGTGCCTCCTTTACAAAGTAAAGATTTCTAAACAGAAAGAAGTGTGACAGTACTTCTAAAATGGATCTCAGTGAGAAGACAGAGGAGGGATGTTCTCACTCCAGGAGACTTCCAGATCCCTCTTACGAAAACTAACCATGGTTTTACTACAAATAAAATAAAAAAGCCATGGTTACTATAGTTAAACCATGGTAACCACAAATTAACCATGGTTTTGCAACACTAACCATAGTTTAACCATGGTATTTGTAGTAAAACTGTGGTTATACAAATGGTAGTCAATACGCCAAAAAAAACAGGGTTACTACAATTTTACTAAAATAAAACCATGGTTAATTTTCGTAAGGGCCAGCTGTGTGTCTGTGAAGAGTTACCAGTCCATGGCCCAATCCCAATTGTAAATATAATGTAGCTATTCCGTTTTTAAACTGCTATTAATAAAAGTTGTGGGACAGCATTGACAATTTTCTTTGCTTCTGGATGTGTGAGCTGTGCGATCTCCGATGTGTGTGTCAGTATGCAGCGCATTAATATAGAGCGGTAAGGCTCTAATGCACACCAGTATAGGTGTGTTTATTGTAGGAGCTTGACGACATATGATGACGTGTGATGGTATAGAAGTGGTGTCCCATTTCTTAGGGGAATATTTTCACCCCTACCCCTTGACACTCTGTTTCAAGGGACAAGGGGAAGGGGTAGGTGAAGGGTATAAAATAGAATTGGGAATGGGCCTAGGTTAATTTAGTTATTTAACTGTCAACACTTATTTAATGTCTGAATATGCACCACAGAATGTACACAGAGAGACTACATGTTCTAATATAAATGCACATATATTTTCTTCATAAATACTTTCTAAGAGCCGAGAAAGTAATGACAAACTAAATTTACAGCCAACAGGAAAGTATACAAGATCATACTGTCAGAAATATGGACTGTCTGTGCTGTGTTTTTCTCCCCATGTGCCTTCCATGACCTAGTTTTCCCTCATGTGTGACATGCCCATATTTGGTTTCCTTCCTGTTCCTATTGTGTTTCATTGAGTCCAGGTGTGTCTCGTCATCCCCTCGTTTAGTCGTGTACTTAAGCCCAGTGTTTCCTGTGTCTAGCGTGCTGTGTTAAATGTCTAATCCTGATGCTACGTGTGTGTTTCCCTCCAGTTTGGATCATTAAAGACTGTTTTCCTTCAACTCCTTCGTCTCCGCACTCCTTCGTTCCTCCACAGTAGCAGTTGTGACAGAACACAGCACCGACTAAATAGTTTATTTGCGTTGTTCCCCTCCATTTATTTTTTGCATTTTTTCAGTGTTTGTTTTCTGTTTTCCCCGTGTGCCCCAAGGATTCCCTCGCTGTAAAGTTTACCTCCCTCGTCCGCAAGGACCTTTCCCTCTTGGAGTATGCTGTGGAGTTCAGCCAGCTCGCAGTTTTAACGGCATTCGACGACGCTGTGCTGAACTCCCTGTTCTGGATCGGAGCCAACTACTACCGCCCCGTCGACCTCCCAGACACCACCGGACTGTGCTGGAAGGAGGCTATCATCCGGTCTCTGGAGAGCGTCTACCCCTGATCCAGAACACAGCCAGACCCAGTGCCCAGCCCACCATCTCCCTGCTGCGTGGAGCGCAAGCCCGAGCCCACCACTGACGGAGAGCGACCGAGCCATCGCCGAAGAGTGCGACAGAATGGAGGATCGCCACGGAGCCAGAGCCTCACGGATCGTCAGACCAGGTGCGAGAGCCGACTACAACGCCCGCTGCGAGGGAGAAAGCCGTGGACAGAGTGTGCGCGGAGAAGAGCTCCCCCCTGCACCATGGTTGAGGGTGAGCTGAGAAGGGATTTGGGTGAATGGAAAGTGGAGGAAGACTTTATTGACTTGTTTACCGACCTGCCCCCTCTCCTCCCTCCTCCGTCACTGCCCACCCACCCACTCCTGCTTCCTCCACCGCTGTCATCTGGCAGCCCCTCTGCTCGCCCTCAGCCCACCATCTGTAGAGTGCGAGCCCCACAGGTCTGCCAGTCTCCATCGTCACCGTGGCTGGAGAATCCCTGGCCTCCGCCTCCAGCCTCTAAGCCCCGGACTCCATCTCAGCCATTCGACCCAGCGGTTACACCTTGGCTCCTAGCTCCCTCCTCTCCGCCATGGCCCATCAGTCCACTGGCTCCACCGGGCTCCCTCGTCCCTCCGGCTCTGCCTTAGTCTGTCACCGACCATCCATCACCTCGGGACTCACCTTCTCTGGCTGCGCCTCATACCTCCATCCCTCCGGCTCTGTCAGGCTCCTCCATCCCTTCGGCTCCTCCTTAGTCCTCTGTCGCTCCGGCTCCACTGCGGCCTTCTGGATCTCCGCCTTGGTCGCCGGAGCCATCTGCTCCGCCTTGGCCCTCCGGATCCTCCCCTTCGCCCTGGCTCATCGGCTCTCCATCTCCGCCTCGGGCTCCTCCACCACCTGCTCTGCCGCAGTCGGTTGGCCCCCTGGAGTCATCAGCCCTTCCTCCTCCATGGCTTCCCCCTCCGTCGGCTCCACCGTGGGTCGCCATTATGGCTGTGGCCTGGGTCCCACCTGGCGCCGCATGCTACAAGTCCCTCCTGTCGTCTCCCTGGCTCCTCCGTCCGTCTGATCCACCCTGACTCCTCCGGTTTCCTCCATGGCTCCTCCCTCCGTCGTCACCTCCCTGGACTCTGTCTGTCCACCCACCTCCTGAGCCTCATCCCAAGTTCCCAACCGTTCCTCCTTCTGTTGTTTCTTCGGCGCGAGGACGCACCTTCCGGGAGGGGGGTGATAGGTCAGAAATAATCCCGATGTTACATGTGTGTGTCTCCTGGCTACCCTGTCTTTCCCTCCAGTTTGGATCATTGAAGACTGTTTTCCTTCAACTCCTTCGTCTCCGCGCTCCTTCGTTCCTCCACAGTAGCAGTTGTGAGACATACTGAATGGATTGTAAATTGCTGAGTAAAATGTGTTGGGCTGAAATCAGTGGCACAGGCCCACAACTGAGGCCAATGAAATGGTCTTTATTTGTTTGTGGAGGACTAGTTGAGGTGAAGAGTGTGTGGCTTTTTATGTGTTTCTATTTTGTTTTGTAAACCAGTTTTTCTAGTCATTATGATCTTACATGATCTGACCTGAAGGAGATTACATTCAGAACATGCTTTCATTTCAGACTGTAATTGTTTGAAATAAAAGTTCAAAATAAAATTAAAAGTAAAGCTCAAAAATACCTTTAAATCTAAATTATTAGTACAGCTGATTGTTATATATATGCTTTAGTGGTCTTTCTGTATGCAGTGTGTAGTGTCTTTGTATGGATGAAGGGTGTGAATTTTCCTAATTTTTAAAGTATATGAATTGCAGGCCTGTTAACTACACTGAGAGTGAAACTGCTTCTAAAATGAGTCTCAGTGAGAAGACAGAGGAGGAATGTTCTCAGTCCTGGAGATCTCCAGAACCCAGCTGTGCTGGGTCTTTAGATGTGGATCATAATTTCAGTGATGAAACAGTGACCACTGATCATATGTGAGTATAAACACACTGGATCAAGTTAGTTGCTTAACTGTTAACATAACATAACCATGCGTGAAAATTCATTAACCTACAATTTTTTAAACAAATTTACATGTACTATTTCTGCATAGATTTATGGAGGAGACAAATTATATCTAGTAAAACCAATATATGTCATTATGCACTCTGAAAATTAATCATTAGAGAGAAATAATCATTTTGAGAAATAATTTGAGCCAATAAAAGAGATGCCTATGAACTGTTTTATGCACATGCATATGTGAAGTTCAACAGAGACTTGCTTACCTGTATATACAAGCCTTTAATACATATTAGAAATGCTTGCATACCTTAAAGGGGTGGTTGACTGTTTTTTTTTTCTTGGCTTGATTGCGTTTATGGGGTGCAGTCTAACATGTATTAATGCTTAGTTAAAAAAAAAACATTATTTTTCATATAATTTACCTTTATTCTACACCGTTCTGTCCCTTCTCCTTTGAACACTCTGATGATTTCCTGGCTTTATGAAGCCCCTCACTCAGAAATAGGCAATGGGCTCAGATTGGTTAGCTGGCCCAGTGTGTTGTGATTCGCTAATTAGAGAAGCAAAACAGCACAACACCTTCCATTCAAATAAGATAAAATAATTAACAGCTTTTCATCTCCATTGGTTTTCCTGTACAGTATGCTCCTGTCCAGTTCTGGTTTGATTCATTCTGTCTTCATTTAGCAAGTGAATAAGCTAAAAAGTAGTGGACACTTGTCACTGTATTCACTTAATCACTGTATTCTTGCGTCAGCAGTGTGGGCACAAATGATCAGACTGCAGACAACCTGAAGGATTCTCCTCAAACAATGAATGATGTTCTGAAGAGAGTAAAAGACCAACACAAAACCAGCATGAAGTACAAAAGTGAGAGATTATTTGAGGGAATCAAACTCCAGGAGAATGAAACCCTCCTGAACAGCATCTACACACAGCTCTACATCATAGAGGGAGAGAGAGAAGGAGTGAATGAAGAACATGAGGTTTTACTCTTAAGGTCTTTGATTCAATGCATAATTTGCTTAGAGGTGCAGTAGATAAAGCCCTTGAAAGTGAGAATGGTCATCTGGATCTGTTCCTGCGGTTCCTGCTGGGCATCTCACTGGAGTCCAATCAGAGACTCTTACAGGATCTACTGACACACACAGAGAACAGCTCAGAGAGCATCAGGAGAACCACACAGTACATTAAAGAGAAGATCAGAGATGGACATGGACTCTCCACTGAAAGATCCATCAATCTGTTCCTCTGTCTGCTGGAAGTGAAAGATCAGACTCTGTCCAGAGAGATTCAGGAGTTTGTGAAATCAGACAAACACTCAGAGAAGAAACTCTCTCCTGCTCACTGCTCAACAATCGCCTACATGCTTCAGATGTCAGAGGAGGTGCTGGATGAGCTGGACCTCAAGAAATACAACACATCAGATGAGGGGAGAAGACGACTGATACCAGCTGTGATCAACTGCACAAAAGCTCTGTAAGTGTTATTTTCAAACATTCATAATAAAAATTACAATGTATTGAAAAGGCTTAAATAACATCATCTTATGTTCTATATTTTGTCTAATAGTCTTGCTGGCTGTAATCTCACTGCTCAGGATTGTGAAGTTGTGTCATCAGCTCTACAATCCTCAAACTCTGTCCTGAGAGAGCTGGATCTGAGTAATAATGACCTGCAGGATTCAGGAGTGAAGCTGCTCTCTGATGGACTGAAGAGTCAGAACTGTCAGTTGGAGATACTGAGGTAATTAGTTATAATATTTTTCCATGTCTAATTTATTAGAGATTAAAGAAATATTAATGCCTTTTAAATTCAACTCAGTTTGCTTTTATTTGTATAGCACTTGTTTCAATACATATTGTTTTAAAGCAGCTTCAAAGAAAATGCATGTTTCAGTAATAGAGTGTGATAAGGCCCTAAACTCTGATGAGGTGTTGAAGAGAAACCTTAAAAGAACCCAGCCTCGAGGGGCCCATCCTCCTCTGTCAACAAAATTTATAATATAATGTCATATAACAATAATAATATACAGCTCTAAGAAAGTACAAATTACATGCTAACTCTGCACGAAATATCAAAATAAAATTGATATCGGGATATGGCTAACTGCGATTGCCTCAATGTGCAGGCTGTTATTGAATTAAAAAAATTAGGCTTTACCAGTTTTTGTTTAGAAACAAGCATGCTTCCTAAATATCTGCAGACATATTGTGGTATTTAGTTCAGTCTTTAGTACAGTCAAAAATTACAAACATCACCTTTAATATTTAATTTATCCTTTGAAGAGTATGCAATGTTATTTTACATTTGATTATTCAATTTCTGTACCTGAACACAACTACCTGAAAAATTTAATCCACTGTTTATTTAATTGTATCTGTTATTTGTGCTATTGCTTATAATTTGTTTATTTTTCTTCAAATTTTATTTTATTTTTATTTTATTTCTGTTGAGCTAGCTAAGCAAGTCGTTTTTGATGTGGTATTGAAATTGGGTCAAAACCACAAAAACAATAATTATTTTTATTTTATTTTATTCATTTACTTATTGTGGCAGGGCTAGTGACATTTTTGGCAGCACAAGTAAAAAAATAACTATCACATGCACAGTTAAACCAACGCTATATTTCAATGCATTAACGATTAGGCAGCTTGTGATCCTATTTATTAAAATATATGGTTAAAATTATGGGGTCTTGTTAGTCCATTCATTGTTGGTGTCATTGCAACATTCTTATATGAACCTGGGTCAAAACTGGAGCTGGTTAAGTCTCCGTTTACCTCAGGATGGGCATCCTGAGATAGAAATGGAAAGCAAAATTAGCATAGCTGCTGTTCAAATTATTTTAGAGATAATCTTGTACATTTGTTTTGATTTCATCAGTCATAACTGTAATACTAAGTTATGAGATGTGTTATGTGAAAGGTGGGCTAAAGAGATGTGTCTAGATTTAAACTGAGAGAGTGTGTCTGAACCACATACATGATCAGGAAATCTAATCCAACAGCTCATATGTTGTCTGCTCCATCTCAGTGTTACTCCAGTAAAAGTAGGCTAGCGTTAACATCAAATTACTTCCCAAACATTTTCCAATTATGATAGTTAGGCTGATTAGTTTAATTTTTAAGTATTTGTGACCTTCTCTATGGTCACAGTAGTTTATACACAGTAGTCTCTATAGCAGGGGTGCGCAAACTTTTTGACTTCGAGGGCCACATCAAGTTTTCCCCACCAAGTGAGGGGCCGCATAGTTATGTGTATGACAAATGAAGCTTTTTTTTAAAGGGGTCATATGATGTTGCTAAAAAGAACATTATTTTGTGTGTTTGGTGTAATGAAATGTGTTTATGCGGTTTAAGGTTCAAAAACACATTATTTTCCACATACTGTACATTATTGTTTCTCCTCTATGCCCCGCCTTTCTGAAACGCGTCGATTTTTACAAAGTTCATCGGTCTGAAAAGCGAGGTGTGCTGTGATTGGCCAGCTATCCAGTGCGTTGTGATTGGCAGAATACCTCAAGCGTGTGACGGAAATGTTATGCCCCTACCATACTGTTGATGCCGTGTCCGGCCGGAGCGACGAGACAAAAACATTAAAACCCATTATAAACGAGGCATTTGTTGCATCCAGTGGGGACATAATTATGGATTATAATGACTTATACTGTCTTTTTACGCGTTGTGTTGAATCGGTAACACTCCAAAGAGAAAGGAAAAATTGAAATGGCATCATATGACCCTTTTAATTAAACTGACCACTACTGTATACTGTATGTATACTTGTACATACATGGCAGTTCTATTCTTCTACCATCTCTGCCTTGTTTTTTATGAGCACTTTATGACACAGATAAGTTGCATTGGTGTACAAGTCGATTGATGTATGACACATTTTTATAATTTCATTCATAAATAATGTAAAATAAACTAAACGTTTACAAACATTAGAAACATGTATATATTCCCCTCACTCCACAAAAATTTAGCAGTGTTCAGAACAGAAAAAGGAACAAAAATATAAGTAAAAAATACAAATTATAGTGGCATTCACTACAAACATTTATTAAAAACGCCCAACCTAAATATTTAAAGAGAAACTGAAACTAGTGGTGTGGTTGCTGGAAAATGCGCAAAACAAACTCACTTGCCTTTCTCATTTGTCACCAATCCTAATGTGCACGCTTTGCGCTTGACCTGATTGCTTTAAATAAGTCACCTTGGAAATTGCAGCACGTTTCAGATGATTAATAAAACATGATTTATAATCCAGAAAATAACTATATCCATTTTCATAAAAATATGTGTGGAAAACATAATATTTGCCAGATAAAACGAAAAATTACTTAATCTGACCGTGTGTGTCTGTAGATTGTGTGTCTGTAGATGATCTGACTGTGTGTGTCTGTAGATGATCTGACTGTGTGTCTGTAGATGATCTGACTGTGTGTGTCTGTAGATTATCTGTCTGTGTGTGTCTGTAGATGAACTGACCATGTGTATCTGTAGATGATCTGACTGTGTGTCTGTAGATTGTGTGTCTGTAGATGATCTGACTGTGTGTGTCTGTAGATGATCTGACTGTGTGTGTCTGTAGATTATCTGTCTGTGTGTGTCTGTAGATGAACTGACCGTGTGTATCTGTAGATGATCTGACTGTGTGTCTGTAGATGATCTGTACGTGTGTCTGTAGATGATCTGAACGTGTCTGTAGATGATCTGTGTGTCTGTAGATGATCTGCTTGTGTGTCTGCAGATGATCTGTCTGTGTGTCTGTAGAAGATCTGACTGTGTGTGTCTGTAGATGATCTGACTGTGAGTGTCTGTAGATGATCTGTCTGTGTGTGTCTGTAGATGAACTAACTGACTGTGTGTGTCTGTAGATGATCTGTCTGTGTGTGTCTGTAGATGATCTGAATGTGTGTGTTTGTAGGTTGTCTGGCTGTATGGTGACAGAAGAAGGCTGTGGTTATTTGTCTTCAGCTTTGAGTTCAAACCCCTCACACCTGAGAGAGCTGGATCTGAGCTACAATCACCCAGGACCATCAGGAGTCCAGCTGCTCAAACACAAACTGCAGGATCCAAACTATAAACTGCAGATACTCAAGTATGTACAGCTGTTATAATTCATTTATATGTGTGTATGTGTTGGGGATCACCTAAAATCTTTTAAGTAATTTCTTTAAAAAACTTTTTCTCTTCAAAAATGCTCAAATGATTTTTTGTTCTTATTGAATACAGTAGAATCCACTCATTTGTGGCATTCACACAACTTTTTTCCCCATTTGTTTTGACTTTAACCTTTTTTTAAATGATACAGTGAGGTATTTACAGTGGTTAAAATGTTCACAGTTACAAAAGTATAGTCACAAGATATAAACAGTATGTCATATCTTGTCACATCCAAGTTTATGGATTTATTACCATAACAATGTAATGATGTAGAGCAGGGGTGGGCAACTCTGGCCCTCGAGATCCACTTTCCCATAGATTTCAGCTCCAACCCTAATTGAACACAGCAGAACCAGCTCATCAAAGTCTTCAGGATTACTAGAAAGCTATAGGCAGATGGGTTTAATTCGAGTTTGAGCTAATCTCGCAGCAACCTTACAGCTGGAATAATATGTGAGTTCTAATAGAACAAATAATTAAAGTGCTTTTATAAAATAATAAGCCTCATATTTTATCCAAATATAGGCATTATTTACTTCTATTGTACGTGCCTTGCAGGTGACAAGTCAAAATGATTTTCTGGGGTAACATTACCATTATATATATTTGATCTTAACTTGTACTGAACACTGAATATTTCTTAAAAAAAATAATACTGATCGGAGGCGATAGATACAGTATTCCAGTATCAGGAGACCCGGCTTGAGGTCCTCTCCCAATCCTGGCCCTCTCTGTCCCACTTCATTTCCTGTCAGTTCTCTATACTTATCACAATAAATGCAAGATAAAAAAACAATAATAAAATATATATATATATATATATATATATATAGTACAACATTCAGTTCCTGTCACAGTGTGGTGAAGGAGAAGGCAAGGTGAGGATCTAAATGCAGGTAGCATTTTATTTACAAAACAAAAGCTCAGGATCATGGAAAAATATATCATTAACTTGAACTAACACAATACATAATACATAATAAAATACAAACGGAAGACAGAAGACAATTAGCGCGTTGCTGAAAAGAGGCGGAGTTACATACGGTTCCTAATGCTCAAATGCATACATTTAATAATTTTTCCTCAATCCATGGTACTGCTGTGGCTATTAACGACAGTGTCTATTTCATTTGACATTAGTTATCATACCATTGAACTTTCTTGTTGTTTTTGTCTCTGTTTAGACTGGATCATGGAGGAGATACCAGGATCAAACCAGGACTGCGAAAGTGTAAGTCCTCTCTCTCACACACACACACACACACACACACACACACATACTTGTATTTGTGGTTTACGGGGACTCTCCATAGGCATAATGATTTTTATACTGTACAAACTGTATTTTCTATTGCCCTACACCAACCCTACCCCTAAACCTACCCCTCACAGGAAACTGCTGGCAATTTTTGAATTTCATAAAACACCGTTTTGTATGTTTTTTAAGCCTTTTGTTTTACGGGGACACAGGAAGTGTCCTCATAAACCATGTTTACGTTGTAGTACCCATGTCATTATACACATTTGTGTCCTCATAAACCATATATACCTGTACACACTCACACACACACACACACACACACACACACCTCTGCATATTTAATGATGTCAGATGTTCTGATCTGCTTTTCTATGTTCAGATGCCTGTGATCTCACACTGGATCCAAACACAGCACACACTCAACTCATCTTGTCTGAAGACAACAAAGAAACAGCATGTGTAAAAGATCACCAGCCATATCCTGATAATCCAGAGAGATTTGAGCGCTTTGAGCAGGTTCTGTGTCAACCGAGTTTGACTGAACGCCATTACTGGGAGGTTAAATTGAGAGGATGGGGTCATGTAGCAGTGGCATATAAAGGAATCAACAGGAAAAAAGGGAGCGACTGTCGGTTTGGACTCAACGACAAGTCCTGGAATCTTTATTGTTGTGATCAGATTTACTCTGCCTGGCACAATAATGAGAGGACAAACGTTCCTCTCCCTTCATCACCCACTGATAAAATAGGTGTCTATCTAGACTGGCCAAACGGCACTCTGTCCTTCTACATCATCTCTGACACACACACACTCACACACTTACACACATTCAACACCACATTCACTGAACCCCTCTCTGCTGGGATTGCAGTTTATTATGGTTATTCAATGTCTCTGTGTCAGATTTAACAACCTCATGTGAGGAACCACAGAGACACATATGGAAGCCCCCCCAAAATACCTGCTGTTTAGATTTAAATAACCAAATACTTAAGATTCTATAATTTGATAATTAATGCAGTGATTAATATGTTTCTGGCATGTTATATGTCAAATGATGCAGTGTAGCTTTCATTTCTTAAACAACCAAGTCAGAAAACATATCCCCTGGTCATTTTCCAAGTTGATAATGCTATTGGATTCAACAAAAATCCAACCAAATATTAGCAATTGTGAGATTTACAGTGTGAATAGTAAAGATATATATATATAATATAAAGTTACATCCTAATATATAAAGTCACAATTATTAGAAATGTTGTCCCAGTCAGGAGATATAAACACACAGCTACTGGTCTGGTATTTTGCGTGAGTCAGCAGAGAGTTGAGTGAGAAAAGGTGTTGGTCTGTAGAAACACTCTGGACTCTTCATTTGGTGTGATCTTATAAAAGCTACTGTAGATGTCATTGCTGTTTCACTGATCCACAGGCTCATGCTAGAGACTGTTGGTCAATGTGTTTCCCTTCTGTTCAATATATTAGGCAGATACAATCACCTCTCGATTGATATTATCATAATGAAATAATCCTATGCATCACTGATATAATATATTCCAGAATATGTTCTGTTGTAAACTAACTCATTTACGCTTTCTGATTGTAACACTTTTTTTTTTTTTTATTAAAGCCTTGATATCTTTAACGGTGTAATTGTACAATATATATATTTTTTAAATCTGAGTATTTCACAATCTTTTATTTATTCTCTTTTGTTGCTGCCTTTACATTTTATATTACTGTTTAAATTATATTATATTTGTAATTCTTTTTCTTTGTTCTGCATTTTGGATTGGTGATTTTGACAAAAAAATGGGTCAGTTAACCAAAAATGTGTTTCTTATGCTAACATCTAAATTAAACCTCCAATTTTGTTTTAGTCAAAGTAAATGACAAGATAGGAACAAATATGGCTGAATCTACTTCATTCTTCATTAGGTTGCAATAGTGAAAGTAACTTTGGAAGGTCAGATCAGGTGACAGTGTCACCTTTAAAAGGGTCATATGATGTGATTTCAATTGTTCCTTTCTCTTTGGAGTGTTACAAGCTCTTGGTGCATAAAGAAGAT